TTTCCCTAGGACACCCTCTGGACACAGTTTACAGCTGTAAACCTCAGTCACATCCTAGCTGTAAGCTCAGTTCTGAGACTGCAAAGACCAGAACAAAGCCACCCCGTGCTTTGGGTTGTTGCTGAATTTGGGGCTTAAGGCCAGAGATATCCCACGGTTTGGAACCATCCCCTACCTGGTACACGTGAGCAATGAGCTGCTCTCTGCCTCTGCACTCCAGTTGGCAGAGGGGGCACTGTGACAGTCCCAGCATAGGGTCAGCATTCAAACTTTCAGGCACCTACAGGGAGGAAAAGCCACTCTGGTGTAAAGCAGACACACCACCTTCCCCTAGTACCTAGTCAGTACCACCAGGCAGGCCTTGGCCAGACCAAGGGCCGTGTGCCCAGTCCCACTGGGGCTGGTTCCTGTCTTGCACTCTGAAAATTCCTTTAGGTAGTCTCTGAGCAGAACTCTGGTGTCTGCAGGAGACCAGGCAGAGGCCTCAAGGCCTCTGTGCACACCCAGGCTCTTCCAGCTCTGGTAGGCAAGGCCTGCTCGGTAGCAGAAGGGAGGGGAAGTCCGTCAGAGAAAGGCACCAGGACTGAAAGAAGGAGGCACACTGCACAATCATCTTGGCCAGCCAGGAGAACCGTAGTTTGTGCAGGCTACCTCCTGCTTATGGCAGCCCAAGAGCTCTTCATACCCTTTTCTCCTGTCAGGAGGTGTTGCTTGGAGGAAGTGGAAAGGAGAAAAAGATAAGAAACAACTATGGGGAAAGAAGATGTTTAGATGGTACCCTCCTCACCCCTGGGAGGCCCAGGTGAGTGCAGCACCAGTACACACTTGCCTCATTTTCTCTCATCAGTGGGGCTGCAGCCACAGGTTGTTCGGCATTCTCTAACTCTTTCTTCACTTTCACCACTGAGCCATCCTCCTCAGAGGTATGCGAAGAAACTTCATCCTGCGTGGTTTCCTCGTCATCACTGCCACCTAGAACATGCAGAACAGGACTTCCAAGTGTCAGGACCCTGAGACCCATAAGCCTTAACTGTCCTGACCAGCATCACCTGGGGCCTCTACCTACCCCTCAGACCAGGGGCTCCGTTTAAATTCAGGCCGGTGCACACCAGGGACTGAGGTGCTTGGAGGACCTGTCCTGTTACCCTGCCTTGCTTGACAACCACTTGGGCTGCCGCTGAACCTCCTCCTGTTACCACCCTGCTCTGCTGAACTGGGACTGCATCCTGGTGGTGAGGTCATTGCCCACCCTGGGGGGTGGTGGTCCTTGGCTCTGGGCTTGTGTTCCTGTAAGGAGCAGCCCTGCTTTGGCTGTGTGCAGACAATTCTGCACAGGAGCCAAGGGCTAATGCAGAGGAGATGGGTAAGACAGCCCTCAGAAGACACCCACAAGCTGTGCAGCACCTAGCCCCTTGTCACAGTCTCCCCAGTCCACTACCTTGCCATTATTGGTAGGGGTAGAACTCACTGCTGCTGGAGTCGGGGTCTTGCAGTGGATGAAGGGCTGGCCTTTGGTCCCCAAGAGCTTCAGGAAAGTTGGTTTTCATCATGGCTTGG